GTTAAGATAAAACGTATATAATATTTGTAAGATTGTACACACCACTAACTTCACTGAACAAAAGTGTGGAAGGAAAAAGAAGAATGGAAGGAGCTGGAGAACTTTGAGAAGAATTTGAGAAGTAATGAGAAGAAAGGTAGATTTGAGTGGAAAATTACACGCATTATATAGACAATAATAGAATGTACACTATGCACTCACATGCCAAAGACATGAGCTGAAGACATGTGAATGACTACTCCCTGAGCCCCTATACTGATGGGAATATTTGGAGAAGGAAATCAACCAGGAGCAGCTTTGTGTGTGTGGTTGAAAAAGAAAAAGAATGTGGATCTAGTCAAATAAGAAAGAAAGAATCACATGGAGTGTATTGGGGCAGAAGACAAATGGATTGTAGGTCCTACTGAACTTGTTCAGACCAAAAACAAGTTTCATTTTGTGAGGCAGATCTCACTAAACTCGTTCTTGGACTGAACGAGTTCTATTATTTTGTCATGTAGGTCCTACTGAATTTGTTTTCTATATAAACGAACTTTGTATAAATTTAAATCCAATCACAATCTGAACAATTTTTAGGTATAGCATCTCGATAAATATTTTTTATCTCATCGTATATGAGTAAATTTTTTTTAACTAGTTATCATATTTGGGTTAAAAAGCCCGACATTCTCTTCTTTTGTGACTGCAAATCTGTTCGAGCCTAGAGTTGCGTCGAATATGGACCATATTTCCTAATCAAAATGACTGGGAACTAGATCTGTCTTCCCCGACTTGCCTCATAATTCATGGAGCTGGTGTAATGGACCCTCACCACAAAATTACAAAATGCATGGACCCGGAAAATAAGTCAAAATTAATCCCATATCATACCAAAGATAGTTTTAAAATCTATTCATAATCCCAATTCCATATATCTAATGTTATTTTCAATCCCAATCCCAATAGTTTAGAATTTAATGCTTCATACAAAATAGGGCGTGAGGGTTAAACCTCACAAACCCACACCTATTTGTTCCCTCTTACCATTCAAACATTTTGTGGCATATTAAACCTTTACTTATCCTTCAAGGACAATGGAAATCTCCCAACACTTCATAATTTGCCCAAAAAAAAAAGAAAAGAAGCAGAAACCTAATATCCAATCTAGAATATATTTATTGTTCCTACCCATCCTTGAACAACAACAATTAAAGTCAAAAAATACAAGAAGGCCTGCCAATTCCAACTTCATAGTTATGCCAAAAAGGTAAGAATTTTGGGAACTTAATGGTAACGCAAATCAAGGCAAATTATCATGAAAATTTAAAATTAAGATTTTTCTTACCTAAAATTTTTAATCGAAATGGTTTCTTAGCTAAATATGGTTTAGATGGCCCACAACGAAAATCCTCTAAAAATTTAAAATAAATATCTCAGACATGTAAAACTCGACATAACTTGCAAATATAATCAAGCTCCAATAGAGCCGGGAAAACGGGCCGAGCCCGTCGGGCCGGCCCTTTTAGGTCCTGAAATTATGAGGGCCGGGCTTGATATTTTTCTCTTAAAATGAAACATAAGCCCCGGAGGGCTAGCCCTGGAGGGCCGAGGGCTTAAAAAGGCCGGCCCTGGAGGGCCACGGGCCGGCCCTTTTAAGCCCTTTTATATTTTTTTTTATTTTTAAAATTTTTTTATATAATATTAATGTTATTAATTTTTTACATTGTTAATAATATTTCAAATATTTAGTTATTATTATCATTTTAAAAGTAAATTTAGTTTTAGATAATAATTTATCCAATTAAATTTTTAAAAAATAGGTTAATTTGGACTTTAATAATGATTTGATTTATATTATATGCGTTGATATTTTTAAACTATATATATATTTGATAATAGAATATTTTTATACTTATATAACTTGTGATTCTATAATTTGAATTAGAAATTCATGAGTTTTAACAGCAATGTTTCTCACATTAAAGTAAAAAAATAGTTAGATTGCAAAATTTAAAAATAAAATTCTTATAAAGAAGAAAAACTTGATATTTTTGTTACGAAAGAAAAGTATACTTATGAAGAAAAGTAATTAATTATAGTGATGATGAAGTTTCAAAAGATTAATAATAGTGTTTATTTATTGCACAATTGCATTATAGATAAAACTTTTAAATGTTGTTATCTTGTTAATGAATGTTTTAGATGTTCTTAGATGTTGATGAATATTTATATATGATGATATTTTATATGTGACTTAATTTTATTCATATTTATGTCTTTTATTAATAATTTCATTGATTTATTTTTATAAAAAATATGATAAATATAAAAAATAGTATTTTTTCTTAAACGGGCTAAAAGCCCGCGGGCTGGCCCTGGCCCTGTAGCTTAAGGGCCGGGCCTAACAAATTGGAGTATTTTTAAAATTCCAGCCCTGGAGGGCCGGCCCTTTTAAGCCCGCTAGCCCTGAAGGGCCGGCCCTGGAGGGCCGGGCCGGCCCTGATTCCCGGCTCTAAGCTCCAACAAGCATTCTAAGGCCATCCATAATCAGCTATCAAAGTTTCAAACGAGAGTTAACTCCAAAAATTGAAATTCCTTTTCTAACAACTTAGGCTTTGAACAAAATTTCAAATATCAACATTTCCACAACTAAATTCATTTTGGAACCATTAACGAGCTTTAACTACCCAAAGAATAATTTAATTTGGTCCTTCAATTAATCTATCAAATGTTTTCATTTTAATTGCTAAGGTAATTTACGTTGATAAATATATTGTAATATTTTGCTTCCAATTCATTAAACTTCCACTCCAAGAGAGTTCCCTTGATTAATCCTCCATTAATTAATTATAAAAAATGGGAAGTTAATAACCAGGGGTTTATTTTTGTTTGCTTTAACATATGTGTGTGTGTGTGTATGCTTGTTTCCCATCATAACATATTATGAATGATTAATTTGATTGGTTATGAGCAAAGTTCTTTCCACAACATGTTGTGCTCTTTGGATGAATCCCAACTATTTTGACCAACGCATGGTTAGTGCATCTAAAATCCCTCACCTATGGTACTTCTTTTTTCTTTTTTTTTTTTACCAGAAACACCTATGGTACTTCTGATATGTTGGCATTGATATCTATATAAGGCTAATTTGTGTCATTGGTTTACCATGGGGTATGCCGTCTATCCATTTAGATACACACTTATGGTTAAAGCATAGTTCAAAACATAGTGAGGCTTACACAGTCATTGTCACATAAATTTTTGTCCATAGTCAGAAGAAAAAGGTGACTTGGATTGGGATTAAACTTTTCATAAATATGGAACTGGATTTAGGGTTGTGAAAGACAAGGTGAACCATAGTCCATTTTCTAGATATGAGGGTTGATCCATATTATAAAGACTTACATTTTGCTTCTTGAACTTGTTGACAAGTTTTCTTTACCTTATGTTTGGTATGAAGGAAATGGAAGGTATAAAAGATTTTTATGAGCTCAATTTAAAAAACTAGATGAGTGAGGTTTTAAAATTTTAATAAGAAGAATATGTAAGATAAAAAATAATAAAAATTAATTAAAAGCTTTTAACTCCACTTTTTAAATTTTTTAAATTAAGTTCATTAAAGTTTTTCCTCCCATACCCTCTATTTCCTTCATACCCAAGGGCGCCTTAGTAAATTGGCAAGTAGAAATTATTAAAATGACAATTTCGTTTATAGTTTTGACAAGTACATTTTAAGTTATAAAGCCACCTTTTACAGGCGTTTATTGACGAGTTCCCTTCTATACTTTGTTAATTAAACATTAAAGTGACAACTTCACTTCCTATTTTGACAAATACACGTCAAATTATGAAAATGTTTCCCACGTTCAAAAGTTTTCCTGAGTAAATTATATTAAGAAGTAAAATGACGGGTTAACTTAGCCTTCGACAAGCAAATAGTTTGAGAACTTGAAACTAAACTTATAAGTACTATTACTGGCCTCATGGTTATAATTCTTTTTAGTTGAGCTCATGATATTTACTGCTGGTAACAATAACTAATCCCCTCACACCATAAACTTTTTAAAAAGATTTTTTAGTGCTACTCATGAATGCCTCTCCATCCACACAACTAGAGATCAAGTCCTTAGCTGGATGCTTAAAGAACCTAGTCAAGTGCTAGCTGTGCTGAGCCTCCTTTCTTTTTAGTAAATAGGGATTCAAATTCCTCATAGTTCCAATGCTGACAGGTTGGTTAATTGAAGAGCATTTTGATAATTAAACAACACAACTTAATTATAATTCCTTAGTTCTTTCATGATACCCATTCATGCAAATATTTCGCTCCTCCATGTTCTCCCAAAATCAAGATTATAATAGTACATGGTTATCTTTTAATAAACGTTTGATATTACGGATTACAAATTATGAAAAGTATATATTATTTCATGATAAATTTCAAACTATGGCACGCAAATAGTTCATACCTGATTTTTGCACAACAAGGTAATAACAAAAAATTGGAAATCAACTATGCTAAAATAGAGGAAACTGCCGCCCCCTTAATATAGTTCTTTTTTCGCAGATAGTGTATGGAGTAATCATCTAATAATCTAATAAGAGATTAATTTCCAAATTCGAAGACAAAGCCAGGATCTTTGAAATTTGCAGGTTTTTTTTTTCCCGCTGTGGCCATGAAACCAGTCCTACTCGGATGCTACGTCAATGATTTTTGGTCGAAAGTTTGCCCAATCAGCACTTTAACAGCCAAAATTAACTTTCTATTAGGGTTGAATGAGATTGCACCATAAAAATTAATCCTCGGTGCACCTTAACCGAAAAATATTTGTACTAATAATTTAGAATATCGAGCAAACTTCCCTGTTCAACCTTAATATTCTTCAAAATTTTAAAATTAAAAAATAGATAATTAGACGATAGCTAAGCATAGTCTATCTGTTTTCCCTAAAGTTTCCAGATACCCTTTGACTGTAAACATCCTACAATATGTAGAATCCCTAACAAACTCACTAGACAACAACTAGAAAGGAAACTAGCCAGGGCTAATATAATATTGTAGTGAAGAATGTTCTAAGTAATTCAAATCACAATCACCAACTCAGCAGCTACTGAAATGGAAACACAAGATAAAGGCTCATTTTTACAGTGGTTATTATCACTCAAATGTTTTAGTAGTTCCCTAGAATCCAAATCAATAACTTGAATCCTAACTCAATAGCGATACTTGGTGGAGTAATCTTTAGGAGATATTACCAGACCACGTCCCTTTCTGGCACCCCTATAGACTGTCTCAACAATATCAATGAACTCTTGCTTGTCCTTGAGAGCCCAATTAATCTTGTTGTTGTTCCCAGTTCCAAGGTCTATCATGATGTGCTTGTTCCTGAAGAAGAACATCACAGTGCATGGGTCATAGAGCTCATACATTGTGTTGAAATCAGGAACCTCCGAGATATCCACCAGGTAAATTACTGCAAAATTTTTAATCGTCTCGGCAACTGACGCTAGTACCTCATCCATCTGACGTCAAGACATATTTGTCAAATGATTAGGTAAAAATTGGCATGCAGCTTCAGATCGTGGAATTTAAAAGAGATATCTGAAGTTAGCCATAATTAAGCCTATAAATATCATGCAATCAGTAGTTTAAGTACGATATAGCAGTAACAAACTGGAGCAAAAAATAGTTTCCATATGATTATGAGCCATGAAACATGTCAATACCTTCAAAATAAGAGGGCTTCAGGAAAATAAATCCTTGATCCTCTCAAAGACTAAGCATACCAGTCTAAAGCTATAGAGAGAAAAGCAAATGCTTTTAATTCAAGGGAGAATTACAATCAAGTCCGAAGAAGAGGAATAATTACTAAAAAGTCTCACTAACAACCTGAGCAGCCTATAATGACAAGTTCTAGAGTGGAGAATGACAACCTCTAAGACTCGTTTTGTAATTTTTTTTCCTCCTTTGGGACCTCATTGTAATTCTCCCTTGATTCAAATATATACAGAAAAATCTTCACACAACTTTATTTAGCATAAGCATAACAGTCCATTTTGTAAGGCAGTAAAGGTTCTTTCCTCTTTCTTTTGGTCTGCGGTAGAGGTCTTAACTAGAAGCAATTGCCTACTTTCAAAAGATTTTTTTTATTTTTTTATTTTTTGAGTTCAAAACATTCACCCTCATGAAGGCAGGAAGAAGTACAAATAATTACCATTATAATTTTTCAAAGTTCTCTAAGCTATTCTATCATTTTTCTGCTTTGCCGTTACTCAAGTCCTTATCATTTTATTGGTGTTTTCCAAAGGATTTTCACCTAGAAATCATGATTTGTTTGGACTAACAAAATCGCCCCAGGCTGCGTTAATTGGCTCTCTATCCATTTAAATCAACAGTATCAATCTCTACACGAAGAAGCAATAATGATGGATTAAAAATCGATATGCCTCCTCACCACAAATTGATTCAGCTTCTATATTTTCAGAGATGAAGAGACAGAGAATCAGCCCAAAAAAATGATTGTGTGCGCCTATTCAAACTAACATCCCCAGTGGAAAAGGCAAAAACTAAGACAGCGCAAGTACTTCAATAAATTAACACGTTCTCATTCACGAATACATTTAGCAACGTGGTAGCAGTTTTAATCCGTATGCTAATCTCAAAAGAACCATTCTTTTTGTAATTCTTGGGTTTCCCCGTAAGCTATGACAATCATTCTCAAAAATCAAAAGGCAGAGTAAACAACACAACAACCAAACTGAATCCAATCAATATGTCTACCTTATTTCAGGTTACAGCTTATTTCAGAGGAATCAAAGGTAGGCTCTGTGTCTACCTTATTTCAGATTATAGCTTCCTTCGTCAATTGTCATCCTTCAAAACATAAAAACAAATAAAGATGAACACATAAACAGAGAGATTTGCGTTCATTAATTCACAACCAAAAGTTAAGTCACCTTAGATTACTCCTTGAATCATCATCTGATTTATGATCGTTGAATTTAAAATGAGATTAAAGAAGAACGAATTCACAGATACCTGCATACAAGTCTCGTCCCAATCATGGCCGAAGCGGATAACGACGACCCGTTCTTCCTCGGCGAGAATAGCCTGATCAACGGCCCACCCAGAGTGAAGGTGCGGCAACAGGTACGACATTCTCTCTGTCTCTCCGTGTGGATCGCCGGAGCACAATGTGCAGTTTTGCGACTTGGCAGGCAAAGAAGCGAGATCGGATGGCCGGGAATTTAGATGATGGCGCCAAACACCCAAAAGCGAAGGGTCTAGAAACAACCAGCCTCTCCACCCGATCCCACACGATATGGCCGATAGCGTGCGTACGACGCAAATGGCTCGAGAAATACAACATGGATTTGGGCTTATTTGGTGGGTCGTTTGAGCGGAGTCTCCGTTTGGATTCGCGAAAAAAAAAAAAGAATTTATTTCTAATCTAATTTAAAAAAAAAATTGGATAAAAATTAAATTGGATAAGTTAAATTATGTTTGAATTGGAGTTTTAAAAAGTTAGTTTGTAAAAGTGAGATTGGTAGAAAATTGTTTAAATTATGATTGAGTAAAAATAAGTTTGTTTGTAAAATTATCAAAATAGGTATGAGTTTTAATAAATAACGAAACATTATTAAAAAAATAATTTTACATAATACATTAAATTTAACATAATTTAATATGAAGAAGTGAAATTTAATGAGCGAATTAAATTTTAAAACTTTAGAGAAATTATAAAAAATATTTTAAATATAAAGTGAAACATGATAAAAAAAAATAAATTGACATAATACAATGAATAAGTCAAATTTAATGAATAAATTAAATTTGAAAACTTTAGAGAAATCATAAGAAATATTTTAAATATAAAGTGAAACATGATAAAAAAAATGAATTAACATAATAAATGAATTTAATATGAAGAAGTGAAATTTAATGAGTGAATTAAATTTGAAAACATCAAAGAAATAAAAAAAATATTGAAAATATAAAAGCGAAATATAATTTGAATGCATAAAAATGTTTTGAACTCCAATTCATTGTATTGTGACAAGGTGAAACAAAATAATATTACATAATTAATTAACTGATAAGCTATGAATAATTTGGTCTCTGATTACATTACAGACGCGATTCATATGCGATAAAGACTGTGATGTAACATTTGAAGATGATGGTTGACCAGCTTTAACCTGATCATATTTGCTAACTATATTACCATTTTAGTCATGTAAGGATCCCATGTCGTTTTTCCTCTATCATTACCCATTTCTCTATAAAAAATAATTGAGATAAGACTAACTGAAGCAAGCAAAACCCTAAAAATGTAATAATAAAAGCTATATTATGTAAGTAATAATAAAAGCTATATTATGTAACGAATACGTTGTACCCAAACAAAAAAATATATTATTTGCATAGTCTTCTCACCTACATTTCTGAAGAAATCCTAAGACACAAAGAATTCCAAATATTGCGTGCAATATTTTCGTAATATTATTGTACATGTTTTTGTTATCAAAATTCTAAATATTATTATGAAGTCATAAAATATTAATTAAGACATTTTGATTAAGATTTTTAGTTTTCTTATTCATAATTTTTTGAAATTATAAATATATAATAACAATATCAATCTCCACTATTCTCCAATGGTGGAGAGAATATGTCAATATATTTTCTATAAGAAACTTAATGAGGAAAGACAATTTTTTTGTGAATATTTGAATAAGCAAATTTAGTAGTTACTTGAGCTATCAAAACCTTAACTAAGGGGACAAAAAATTAGCTTTAAAATTAGTTTTTTCAATCTCTACAAGCTTTTGGCATAAAATCACTGAAGTCATAAAAATTCAAATATTAGGCACAGCAAGTTTGTACAGTTTTCTTTCAAAATTCCACCCCAATAGCAACCGAATGATCAGTATATATAATCACATATGCACAATCCAATCACATACACACAATCACATCTCCAGAATGATCATCACAGTATGACATCGATGACAAATAACCCAGGATGCAAAATTCAATGCCAAATCTGTAGCTCCAAATGTCAACTATCTGGCTAGATCGATTCCTTCAACAGATAGTTAAATGAATTAATCCTATGCATTAATCCACCTCAACAACATGTGGGACAAGATGACAAAAACAGAAGGGGAAAAAAATACCACGGAAGAAGAAACAAAGCACTACAAAAAACAGAAGGGAAAAAAAAAAGATCACTGACGAGCAGCACGAAGGAGAACTCTTAACCCCCAGAAATGAGTTTAATTTTCAGGCTAGCAAATTCAGGCAAGCACAAGGGATTAAATCGAAAAAGCAAGACAAAAAATTAAATTGGCCAACCTGTAACAGATCCAAAGACTCGAAGGCTGCAAGAGGTAGATTTGACGGTGTATTGCATTGGGAAGCTAAGATCTCCACGCATAGCTCACATGCACTAGTAGATAGTGGCGACCTCAGTTGCAGATGGCAGAGTAGCTTGGACAACTCAATAACAGCTCGGACTTGTGATGAAGGAGTAGCCTCCAGCAAGCCACGCACACCTCACACCCAACACAATGACCTCACGTTGGTGACGTGACGGAGCTCATAGCGACCAGTGGCGAAGCTTCCAGGAGGAGGCGATGGAGCAAGTGGGATTGGCAGAGAAGAGACAGGACTTGTGGATGAGAGGTGTGGAAAAAAAAACAAGTGAAATCATGAGGGAATAATGACAGAAGGGAGAGAAAAATAAAGAGGAAATAAATTCTCTAACACACCCACAGTCCCAATAATGGTCCTGATAATCTCTTCAGACTTCAAAAATAAGGTCATCTTCCTAGCTTATTTCCACTGCACGCTCAACCAGCTTATTTTCCAGTAAGCCCAATATATCATAAGCCCTCCCAAACATCACCAAAATTTTCAAATGGGCTTGTCTTGAAATTAAGCCACGTTTGTAATTGAGATTAACCACACATTTTTTCATATGCATAACATATGAATCAATTAAAAATTACAACAGTTCATTTAGAAATAACAAATCTTGATTGTGAAATAACAACTCTTGAGTTAGGATTAACAATACATTTTTCTGATACTTTTCAATTATAATATTTATATTATTTGTAATTTATAAAAATAATTTATCTCCATTTTATAAAATACTTTATCTCCAATTTATAAAAAAATATAAAAAATACTCTTTTATTATACTAGTTATAATATTTATAATTTATAAAAAGTATTTTAATTTATATTGAGTTATATATTATATGTCAAGAAAAAATGTATTGTTAATTCCAACTCGAGATTTATTATTTCACGACTAGGATTTGTTATTTCTAAGTGAACTATTAGCATTTTTAATTGATTCGCATGTTATGTATTTGAAAAAAAAACGTTGTTAATCTTAATTCTAGACTTGTCATTTTACAATCAAAACTTGTTATTCCTAGATAAATTACTGTTACGAGCTGGAACTAAAACAAAGGAGTTAACTTATATATATATATATATATATATATATATTTTGCCCAACAATCTTAAGAAAGTTTCTGGGCTCAATAGTTACCTATCCCTTTGGCAATACCTGGTTGGGGGATTAAATCCCCCCAACCCCACTTTCCTCCCCTTTAAAAAAATTCCTCATAAAAAAAACACACACTAGCAGCTACCTCGTTGGTGGCCATTGTTGGAGCTTCACTGCCGGCAGGCGGGCAACTAAATGCCAGTGGCTAGTTGCCAACAAGGGCTCAAGTAAGGGGTTCTAAGCTTTTTTTTTTTTTTTTTAAAATAATAATAAAGGGATATTTTTGTAATTTTTTTGAATTTCAAAATTTTAATTTGGGTTTGTTTTATTCTCTGTCACTATAAAGTGTTAGGTGCCTGAATTGGGATATCACAATTTTAGGCTTTTTTTCTATCTTTTTCTCCTTACACATTAGGAAAAAATTAATGCACAAAAGAGAAGTTTAGTTGTACAAAGAAAAGATGTGACACAAGAGAAGATGATTGAATGTAAGGGAAGATGGATTACGTAAAAGAGAAGTTAAGTTGCACACAGGAGAAGAGAAATTAAGTTCTTAAGAATCATTATGTAAAAGAAAAGTTAAGTTGGACACAGGAGAAGAGAAATTAAGTTCTTAAGAATCATTTGCTAATTACTTTTTCAACGAGGGACTAATTCCCAATTTTTCCTCATACTTTTAAATTATTCTCTCAAAGATAACAATATTGAGTATTCTAAATTGTCAAGTGGTGAATGTTTCTTCTTGAAGTACTACTTTCAGTTTTTAATATAAGAGTTGTTTGACTAATTTGAGTAAATTAAGAAAATTAGTTAAGTTAGTTATTAGTAATAAATAAGTGTTGCCTTCCCTAAAATACTCTTAGTGATCATGTGTATTAGTCAAGACTATCATTTGATGAGCTCTTTTACATATGTAACTATTACAAGGACTATCTTTTAAAATAAATAAATAAATATGAGAAATAAAATAGATTTTAGTCTTATATTGAAAAATAAATTGAAAATCAAACTACTTCTTATATTGAAGACCAAAGGTAGTATTAAAATGGGCCAAATTCCATTAGTCATTCCTAAAGGTTAGTTAAGTGAGAAAATTAAGAAAAATTTCTCAAAAAATTATAAATAAGTGTACTCTAAATATATTAATATCAATATGTTCCGAAAATTATAAATAATAACAAGAGAGTAATGTTAACCTTTTATTCTCATAAAACAAAATGCCATTTTAACAAATCAGTTTTAATTGACTATTAAGTAATTGTTTAATCATTTACAGGCAAGTAAGCTTGTACCCACTGTGGTCGGCCAGTCCCTATCCCATCCTGTTTTGAGCAGGATCAGGATGAGATAGCACCGGGACAAAACTAGTCAAAAAATTACCCACAAGAAATCCTAACTTAGCCATTTATTTATTTTTAATATTGATTAGTTAGTTAGTTGATTTAAGGCCCATTTGGTTCATAACCATTGCATCCTGTAATGTAATGTAATGCAACAGGGATGTAATGTAATATTAATTACATAAAGAGTGTTTGGTAGGTTTTATTAACAAGGGTGCAATGAAATATTTTTAATAATTATTTAAAATTAATATGTAACTAAAAAGACCATTTGACCCTAGCAAATAATTCACTCAAGCCCTTCTCCCTTTAACATTGTCTCCCCTGTTTTATCAATTCCATCCATTCTTGCCACGCAAGTGGAGGACGGCAAATGGGCACCGCGAGCACGATTGATTTTTCTCGCATAGGTTTGTGTCTCATCTCTCTACCTTCACTCATCTCTCCCCCTTCTTGTTTGTGCTTTTCTCAATTGCTTAATTGAGGTCTGTAACATGAAATAACTGATGGCATTTGAATTTTTTTGGGGTTAATGTACAATCTGGGTTTAATACTCATTTCTTAGATTTAGAATTTGAGTGCAGGACATTTTTTGAATGAAAGGATGATCATTTCTTTTGTGTTTGACATTTTTTTAATTGGCAATTATTTTAAAATGAGTAGTTCGTAAATTTCATCCATCACTCGATTTGTTTTCTGGTTTCCAAAGGGATTGGACTTCATATTTGAAGATAGACAAAGTGATTCTGAAGAGAATTCATCTTTTGAAAGTGATGCCAAAAGGAGAATAAAAAGAAAGTGAAGGAAGAGAAAAGAGAAGCACATGTTATTAAGGATAAAATTGATATTTTATAAAAAAAATTATAGACATGCAATAAGTATTCATAAGGGTCCTTTAGGAATGGGTATTACCAAAAAAATTTTGCAATTAATTTTACCAATGCAATTTTTTTACCGTCAACAAGTCTAACCAAACAAGCCGTCTATGACAATGTGATAAAAATTACCATTACAGGTGTGTAATGGGATTGAACCAAATAGGTCCTTAGTCTTCTGCTTCGCCCTTAGCTTTCAACAAATCGCATTGGGCTCAGCTCAGATTCACGCTTAGTCACTCCATTTGTTGGCGTCTCATATGCTAAAGGATGTAAATAGGATGGGCTTTATTCTTAACGAGTCGAACCCATCTCATAACCGATCAACTAGAGTTTGATCTATGACATGTCATAGGTCTTTTTGACTAATCTCTATAATGCTAGAAGCATTAAGGTTAAAGTCTTTTCATTAAGTATGCTTTCTGAGATTCAAACTAGGCAAGTTCATCAGGCCAGCTCATTTAAGCTTTTTTTTTGGGGAATGGAAAAGATATTTTATTCAACCAAACATTTACAAGAGAGTCATTGAAAAAAGAAAAGGGACGGGACAACAGAACGGTAAATTAACTGTGAGTAAAGATTAGTACAAAACTGTGAGCTTTCATAGTGTGCTCACAAAGGGCAATAACTTTATTAACTAGCCGAGAAGGATATGTGGTTTCTTGCCTGAAAATGTGGCGATTTCGCGCATCCCAGAGACGCCAGCATAAGAGTTTGAAGGTTGTACACCAAGTTGGATTGCTTTTATAAGCGCACAAATTCATTACCAACCAATCAGTGAAATTGCTCAAATTAAAGCCTTGAAGACCTTGATCAGGCATGAGTAGTTTCCAGCAACACGTGGCTAAGTTGCACCTTCATAACACGTGATCCAGGCCTTCTCTTGCCCTTCCACAAATTCTGCACGTGTCGTGCTCAGTCATATGACGTCTCCTCCTTTCACTATTCATAAGGAGCTTGTTGTTCATTGTCAGCTATAAGAAAGTCCTGACTCTTTGAGCTCCAGGCCATTGCCAGACTAGCTTCCATTTCACATCCTCATTGTTCTCTTCATCAGATCAAAGCATTTTATAAGCTGAACTAACTGTAAAGTCACCATTTGCAGTGAACCTCCAAGTTCCTTTTTCTTGGTGATCTCCTACAGATGTTTGAGGCGTGGGGCTCGCTGCTATCTTATCTATCAAAAAACCAGGTAGTAGTTCGCGGAAGTCATCAATTCTCCAATTACTATTGCCTGTTACAAAATGCCGTAGTGGAAGCTGGAGTTCCTCATCTGAAAGGGGTGTATAAGCCAATTGGTGGAGTGGGCCAAGATCACCCACCCAATGGTCAGTCCAGAAGCATACACGTTCAGCATGCCCTACACTCCATTTGATACCTAGCTTTGCTTCCTTCCAGACAGCTCCCAAGTTTCTCCATAAGTAGGAGCTATTATTAGTGCAAAATTTATCATCTGGTTGCGCCCCATTTATATTTTGCACGGAGGATTTAAACCCATAAGAGATCAGGCTTGTTGACCTTAGCAAAGAGGAGTTTCATTAAAAAAACTGAATTTTGACTCTTCATGTCATGTAGACCACATCCTCTTTTTTGCTTTGGTTGACACATGTCATTCCACTTTAGTAAGGAGACACTTTTATGTTGCTTTGTTGTTCCCCAAATGAAGTTTCTGATCATGGCTTGCATCCTGCTACATGCCGAGAGAGGTATTCTTGTTGTTTGCATAGCGTAAAGGGGAATTGTAGAGAGAGCTGACTGGGCTAGGGTGATGCAACCTGCTAGAGAGAGCGAGTTAGCTTTCCATCCTGAGAGTTTCTTGCGCATCCTCTCCTTTATATACTGGTAAGTTTCCTTTGTGACTCTACCATGCAAAAGTGGCACACCTAGATATTTTCCAAGCTGTTCTGTTTTTTGGAATCCAAGTCTATTGCAAATTGCATTTGCCTCAGATATAAAAACATTCTTAGAGAAATATATCCGTGTTTTGACTTTGCTCACTAAATGTCCAGATGCAGCACAAAATTCCTCTAGAATTAGGTGGATGAGATCTATCTAGTGGTGTTCAGTGGTACTGAATAAAACTAAATCATCCACAAAGAATAAGTGCAACAATAAGGGCCCATTCTTCCCCATTTGGATAGGTTGCCATCTTTTCTGTACCACTGCTGCCTTAATAATCTGTGAGAGACATTCCATACATAAGACGAATATGTAAGGAGACAGTAGATCACCTTGTTGGATCCCCCTTTGGGTAGTGAAGGGGTTAGTAGGTGTCCCGTTCCGGAGCACTTGCATAGTCGGTCCTTTCACACAATTCATAATCACCTTAATGATGTTCACTGGTATCTTAGCATCATGTAGAGTCTCTTCTATGAAATCCTAACGTAAGCTGTCAAAAGCCTTCTCTAGATCTACTTTAATTGCCATCCACCCTTTCTTGCCTGTTTTCCTCCTCATGGAGTGTATAGCTTCTTGAGCAATGATGATGTTATCTGTAATGTTCCTCCCTTAAATGAAGCTTGCTTGGTACGGGAGGGTAAGATGGTCCATTGTCAGCTTCAATCTATTGGCAATGATCTTGGTAATCAGCTTGTAAATTGTTGTGCATAAGCTGATTGGCCTGAATTCCTTCAAGGTTTGGGGTTACTCTACCTTCAGTATGAGGCAGATGAGTGTATGATTTAGATGTGGTTCTATATCTCCACCCTCAAATATAGCCCGTATTTCTTTGAAGACTGAGTCACCAACTATGTCCCAATGAGATTGAAAGAATAAAGCATGGAGTCCATCAATCCCGGGTGCTTTGAGTGGGTGCATGTCAAATAACGCTCTTTTGGTCTCTGCCTTAGTAACAGGGCAACCAATTAGATTAATTAATAAGTCAAAGACCAGAGGAAACGTACCTTTGGTGAGGCGCAGGGTATGTTGATTTGGATCAATAGAGTAAAGTTGTTGAACGTAGTCTAAAGCCATTTGACCAAGTTTCTGCTGGTCAGCCTCCCACATTCCTTCTTGATTTTTTAGCATTGAAACCCTGTTATGCCGTTGTTGTATCAGTGCTTTGGTATGGAAGTATTTAGTATTACGATCCCCATCAGTGAGCCATTGGCTTCTTGATTTTTGCATCCAAAGCACTTCTTCTTGAAGGCACATATCTTCATATTCAGCAATCAGCATTTTTTCCGTATCTAACAAGTGAATCGAGAAGGGATGCCTTTATTGCTTTCTGGATCTCTAGTAGCTGCTTGCGCAGTTTTTTCTTGTTTACTCCAATCAACCCAAAGACTTCCTTATTCCATTTTTTCCTAGCTTCAGTGAATGTTTCTAAATTAACCCTTAGGTCTTTATCCGGAGTCCTGTGTTGTCGCACAAGATCATTGAATCTTGGGTGCAGATTCTAGCAAGCCAAATAACGAAAGGGATTGGCTGGGTGGCCTAGATTCTTTTCACCTTTTATTAGAAGAGGTCGGTGGTCGCTCTGAATTCTTGGCAAGTGCATGACTGAGATATTGGGCTAGGCTTGGAGCCAATTGTTGTTACACAGAGCTCTATCTAAACGAACCATAAGACTCCTTCTTTTCCAAGTATATTTTGGCCCTGTAAATCCTAGATCCATTAAACCAAGCCTTTGAGTGAAAGTCCTGAAAGCTTTGCATCCCTCCCTTAAGCGTATAGCTCCTCCTTTTCTCTTATTAGCATTGAGTGTGGCGTTGAAATCGCCTGCCAAAAGCCAAGCTTTCTGTGCACCAATGGGGAGTTTAAGAAGATCAATCCACATTCTTTCTTGCATCATAGGATTAGGACTCCCGTAAATGGTAGTGAAGAGTGTTTTACTTCCCTTGTCCTTATTAACCACTGTGATGTGGATGAACTGCTTGTGGTTCACGAGTACTGAAATATTAGTTTGGTCAGACTAAAGGACCCAAATACCCCCAGAAAAGCCAGTTGCTTCTACTCGATGAGAGTTGGTGTAACCAATTTTCCTGATCACTCGGTCCGCCTTAGTACCGAATATACGTGGTTCAACAAGAACAATAATGTATGGTCCATATCCTTGTAGTAGTGATTTGAGTACTACATGAAATTTGCTTGAGGTTGCCCCTTGGCAATTCCATACAAGGAATGCTTTATCCATCATGAGAAAAAGTGAGTTAATGCTCCATATTGGAGCATTCTGACTGCGTGTCTTCTTCCAAGCCATTATCCATTGCTTCCACGAAAGCTTATTCATCTTCAGAGGGAATAGTGGCTCCTAAAGCGTCAACCAGGGCCTTGGTAAGTTCCTCAGACGGAGACCCAACTTCCTCTTTGGACTTGGGCTTTAGGTGCTTCACTTTAACTGTTTGTTGGATTTTAAAACCATTCTTGGATGGGCTCTTATCTGGTGGTTTTGGTAAAAAAAGATTCCTTACTTGCGTTTGTTGGACTAGGGGCCTTTAAGTGCCTCGGCCCAGTAGGTTTCTCTGCCATTTCTCCTGTTGGTTGCGTCGTTGTTCTCATGTCAGACAAGGAGATTGCTGAGTGTTTGGTTGGGTCTAGGGATGTGGGGACGTGCATTTCTTTATAGGCCGGAGAATCAAAGACAATGACAACTGGGGTTTTGGGCGTTGAGTTCATCCTGGAGCCTATGCTCTTAGCGGTTTTTTTCGTGCGACTGTCCGCTGACTTGATTGTCCACTCTTGCCGTGTGGTGCTTTTTGAGGAAGCAGGAGGTGGTACAGGCTTTTCTTCGGCTATGGCAGGGAGGGGGTTGCCATTATGGTGAAACTCTGGGTCCTCTGCAGTAGCTAAAGGATCAAATCTGTTGTCGCTAGTGTCATTAGGATTGATGCTGCTTTCGGGGGCTATCTTACTGTTTCTGCTACCATGCTTTCCCCGAGGTTGCACCTTCATCCATTCTCCATACTTTTTGTCTTCATGCTCTTTTGTTTCACGCACCCAACTTTCTAATGAAGATGGCCGTGGCGTGGTACTGGTCAGAATTCTGGCATGTGCTTTGGCTGTTGGTTCCTGTGTTTTCATCTGTTGCGACTTGGCTGGGTAGGATGCTTCTAGGTGTTCGTACTTCCCGCAGTGGTAGCAAATGGTAGGCATGCCTTCATATTCTACGAATTGTGTTGCACCGTCTAGTCTAATCATCGAAACGAGTGGCTTGGTTAAGTCAATCTTCACTGCTAGCTAGGAAAACCTCGCCTTGTCCACTCCTTCAGTGTTGTAATCTATTCTCAATACAGTCCCAATGAGTTCCCCGATAGCCCGAAGCACGCTCTTGTGATAATAATGATACGGTAGTCCTGGCAATCTCACCCAGCCATAAACATGCTTTATTTCAAGGTTAAGGGGGGAAAACATCAGCTCCCATGGATGTACCGTGAGGTAGTGGCCGAGGACCACCCATAGTCCACCCAGCATAGCATTCTGATAATCCCATTTATTGTTGAACTTGACCATGTAACAGCCGCCGTTAAGTTCAGTCAGTTTGAAATTTCCAGTGGGTCTCCAAAGGTTCGCGATCTTGCCGTAGAGAATATCTTGTCGTATATAGTGCCCCAGTAGTTTGACTACAACTGCAAGTCTCATACTTTGGAACATGTAGCTCTTGACTCGTTCAGAGAAATTGATGGTTGGTATGAGGCCATCCATGTCCACTATTACATCTTCATGCTCAATATTCAGTTCTTCAGAAAGGTTATTAGAGTCTGTTCTGACAGTTCCAGCTCCGCCCATTAACTTATCTTCATTTAAGCTTTTTAAGTAAAGGGATGGGCCTGTATTTTAGAAGGTTCAAAAGAAAACTGGACTTAAAAGTATAAGCCTTTTAAAGCTCAAAAATAAAAAGGCTAGCCCATTAGGGTCCAGGCCAACCCTTTTAAGCTCGCCTATTTTTATTTTTATTATTATTATTATCAACATGTTTCTACAATTATGGATTAGTTTTTTATGGACAAGTTTGAATATGAAAATTATTTAGAAGAACTAATACTTAAGCCAAATAATTGAAAAGAATTATGTGTCTTAAACTGTTGAATAACAATTAAAATCAATTTTCAATTCTTTCAAGGATGGCATCTAATATTGCTAGCATTCCAATCATTACAATGGCTAGAGAATCTTCCTTTCCCATCAGTTCACATGTCTAACAAAGTATATAAATTCTTTTATTCTGACAAATGTGTGAATCTCGTTTGTACTCATAATTGTTGCATAGTTTTGCTTTAGATAAGGGCGATAAAAATAAAAATCTTGATATTTTTATCACTGAAGAAGAGCATATTTAGAGTGAAGAACAATCAAATATTATTAATCTTGATGATAGTGATGAAGATGAAGATAATAATCATATTGATTTTGTTAATATTTAGCTACTTGGTTTTTATCTTTCTACTTTTCTTTTTTTATTTAGCTTTGGTCTTTTTGAGTGTGGACAATAGTTTATTAGTGTTTGATTTTTTTTTCCTAAACACTATTCGTTTATTTCACTAATATTTATAATTTGAATAAAAAATTTTAGAAGATTTATTGCTTTCTTTTTTGTTTCAAGATAATTGAAAAGAATTTAAGTTTTGAAAAATAACATAAAGGGCCAGCGCTTTTAGACTTTGAGCCGTCATGTTTGAGGGCCGAATTTTAATAATATGACAATTTTAAGCTATGTGGGCTATAAATGGCAAGTCTTTTTAGGACCTAAATCTTCTTGCGGAAATCTTTTAGGGTTGGCGTAATCTTTATTGACATCTCTATTACACATCAACAAGTTGAGAAGAATGATGCAATTTAGAGAAATTAAAATTTTTTTTAGATTGTTAACTAAAATTATAAGAGAACCAAGGCCCACTTGTAACTATTTGATTTTTATTTTTTGGCATAAAAATATTGAAAAAATTAATAAAAAGTGTTATAGAAATTGTTATGAAAAATTATTATGATTTAAATTCAATTAAATTAAGAAACTCAGCTTTCTCACTGAAATCAGCTGGAAAAAGGGGTATTTACGAAGAAGTAGAATAGGAGAGGGAGCATATTGACATAGACAAAAGAAAATGGAAAAGGATTGTTAAGAAGAAATTGAGGGTATTAAACACCCTCACAACCCAGTTTTTCTGCCACAGAGAAAGAAAGAGAGAGTGAGAGACAAAGAGAGTAACAATGTATGCTTTCAATTGTTTTGAAGAATAAGACAAGAGTTGGGAATCATTTAAGTGCACAAAAATATTTCTTTTTATCAAATTGTCTTTATAAATATTTTCTATATATTTAGAACTTTATACTGATAGTATTATTATAATGTTTAGAAAAAATTTGGTGATTTGAATATGGATTATGCAGTGAGTTTTGATAATATATGACCGTAAAAATTTAAAGGTACCTTATTAATGAATTTTAATCGATTTATATGTGTTCATCGATTGTGTTGAGAATTTTAAACTAAGATTTTAGTTAAAGAAATTTATTATTCAAGATATATAGAATGTTTATAGTGATTAAATTTAAGTTAAATAATGTATTTAGATTACTTAATATATTATTGGGGTTTCAATCACGTTGAATATTGAATATGTTAAATATACATTATTAAAAAAAAAATTTAAGCTTGGAACTTATAAATTTAGAATTTTATGAAATTAAATAAAATGAAAGTGTATTTATAATTCAAAGGAGTTGTTTGGGTTGAGAAAAAATTTTAAAATGAGAGTAGAATAAATAATTGAAATTGTAATGTGAGATTAGAATTTTGGGTAGTAAATATATATATTTATTTAAGTTATTAAATTTAAATATTATCTTATAAGAAAATTTTTATCCCCGAATAATATGGTATCTATTATAAAATAGTTAGTTATGTGATAGTTAATATGTTTATATAATTTTAATTTAGAGTATAGTTTTAGAATTTTAGGATAATTCTAGAATAGTTTTGAGTTATATATTAATAAATATTTATGTGCAATTTTGTAGGCTCCTATTGATAATTTTGGAGTAATCATTGTGATTATTTATAAGCTACAAAATAGTTAAGTAACTTTGAAAATTCTTCCATGTACATATGGATTGTGTGTGATTAGGTCGTGGATTACTATTTTTAATTTAATTATCTCAAACCAAAATATATGTAAATTTATTGACTTTTTAAATAAATAGAATTATAGTAGACCTACTTTTATTTTAAAATTTATCCTATTAATTGTCATCTTTATCTTATTAAAATTCTTTCATATGTATATGAATTTATCCAAAGATTATACTAACCCATTAGGATTTGTAGTCAGATATTTTTAAATATAATAATTGAATAATATAATGATTTGTACTGTTAATTTATACTGACATTTTCTTGTTCTCTTATTTAAAATAATAATATATTTATAGAGGTATTTTTGATGTAACATTATCTGCATATGACACATACATTGTTGGGCGAAGGATAAAAGGAGATACGCACGGATATACAATTACCAAGCAGTATGTCCTCACTAAGTGCATAGCAGATGGCACTTGTTAGGGCCCCTTCTTTCATATTTTTCTTTGGTCGGGAGTTCATTACAGCTATGAGACATTTGACACCTTCTTATTTTTATTTTCAAAGGAGAGAAGCCATAGTTCAAACTTGAATTCTATATTTTTCGCTAGATATATCTCAAGTATTGGTGAGCTTGGAATAATCTAGTAAAATGAATTAGTTTTTTTTTTTTACTATAACTACAGTCAGTGGTATAAGGATGGATAATAATATAAGCGAGGTTGTATATTGCATTATTTTTGGATACATAGAAAATTGAGATTCATAAATTATTGAATTAAAAGTAAAATTGAGTTTAATGTAAAAATTTGTGGTATCCACACACAAACAAATATGTATAATCGAATTTTTGTTAATCATATATAGTTTGCCCGTATAGATTAGAATTTTAGTAGTTATTGAGACATTATATCTCATTCTTTATATTAACACTTTCACATAAATGATCTAGTAGGAATCAAGGAAAGGCACCTATGAAGTGAGCCATGAAGATTTCTGTGCTCTTTAAACACATGCTATATTATATTTTATTTTCCTTGACGACTTCAATGTTTTATTTTAAGGGTGATGCGACAAAAATACCCATGCACATTATCTATATGTGCGGCTAGCATCATAAACAAATATTGAATCCAAATATAATTATAATGGTTCCAAAAGAGCTCTATTTTACCACAGCCGTA